CTCATGGTTCTAAACAAATAACATACCTCTCCTTCAACGTGTTTTATTATTAACAACATCCTTCTTGGTTTCGTTTCTTTACTAGAAGAAACTAGAAGATCAGCTTGTATGTTTCTTCCATCCTGTATTTTCAGCCTTGATCCATTTGGAGTGTTCACTAGGTTGCACAGTGGCTGTTTAACATAGAAAGGCTGTAAACGTCACTTGTATGTGCAAACATTTTAACAAACAATACCTTAAGGGTGGGAATTGTTGGCGTAAGTAACAAAATTTTGAAAACCCTGACATGCCACTCAGTTTAAAATGTGAAGCAGGCCTGTTTAGATAGATTTTCCTGTTCCCCATCAAAGCTTTCCTGACAATCAGGTTGGTTCATTACCATGTGCAACATTTGAAATGTCTGTTTTGTGTTGATTTAATGATGATCACCTTTCTATTCTTTGTTCCCCTTGAACCCTATCCTTAAAAAAAGCATTGCATCACAAATTGTCTTTAGACAGACCTTGTTGTTTTTCTCCTTGAAAGCTACCAAAGCTTTTGGACTGTTATCAATACTTTTGTATTTTGCAGATTTTCCGAAACAATTGGTTGTTGGCCCAGTGTTGGTCAATTTGTTAATATAAGTTTAACTGTTACCTTCACTAAATACAATTTTGAAATCTCTCTGAACTTTGTTATAATAATGTTTTATTATTTTATTGATTTAATTGAGGTGTTGTTATCTGCTAGGTACTCAAGTGCGTCAGTGTGTGATTTGTCATGTTTCTAAAGAAGTAGGTTTATTTCTGCCTACCACTTCATACTTGCTTTGCATATTTTTTGACATTTACTAAAGTGCTGAGTTTCACATTTCAGCGCATAGCAGCAAAAACCTCACCTATTACATGCTAAACTTGCTGTTCGGCACTCACTGCTTTGAGAAGCTTTCAACCAAATCAAACAAGCTAAATATTTTCCGCTCTTTTGCAACTTGGAAATGTATGTGAGTTTCAACCATGACCTTGGGAGAAGAAGACCAAAAGCAAAACCTTTGTAAATCAATCCATAATATATATATATATAAATATGATCAGTATATCATATAATGTTTTGCTTCTTTACTCATTTAACTGCACACACCATGCCTGGTGCTCAGCATTTATAAGCCAAATTTTATTTTTATGATGCACATGGTAAATGGCATGTACTTATATAGCACCTTTATTCAAGTTAGGAGACTTGACCAAAGCGCTTTACACTACATTCATT